GACATCCCGCATCACCCAAAACCCCATAGAAAGGTATTATACAATACTTTCCAATGGTGGAAGTTCTAATGCGAGTGTGGCCATCGCCGTGCATGCACATTAGTTCCCCCCTGTTCGATGACGTTGACGGAGGAAAAGCTGAGGCAGAGCCTAGTGATCAGGTAAGTGACAGAAGGAGTTTTTAACCCCTACTGCACCACGGGTGTGTGTGTGTGTGTGTGGGGGGGGAGGTGAGCACAAGGGAGGAGGGTATAATAGGGAGCTATAGTTTCCCTTTAAAGCAAAAGAGAAAATGACTGTCCTTAGCTTGTATTGTTTAGAGATGTTTAGTGAAAGGCACAAGAAATATGGTGGTGTATTTCTCTTATAGATGAAAACATAACCTTTATTGTTTAAAGGTCACTGTAAGGTCAGGAACACAAACATATATTTCTGACTGTAGAGTATTAAAACCACCGTCTAGCACCCCTGGCCCCCTCTTGCCTCCCTAAATATTGTAAAATCCTACTTGTATTCAAGTCTGAAGCTGCTACCTCTGTCGTTGTCTGCTGACATCAGCAGAACTGGTGGTCTGAGCCAATCACAATGCTTCCCCATAGGATTGGCTGAGACTGTTAAGGAGGCAGGTCAGGGGCAGGTCCAACACAAGTCAAACACCCTGGCCAATCAGCATCTCCTCATAGAGATGAATTGAATCAATGCATCTCTATGAGGAAAGTTCAGTGTCTGCATGCAGGGGGTGGAGACACTGAATGACAGGGCTTCACATTAGGCAGGACTGCTTAAGGAAGCATCTCTAGTAGCCTTCTGAGGAGTGGCCAGTGATATTATTTTGCATTTTCTCTAAAAGGACAGTGTTCACACCAATAAGCGGGAAGGGAATGATTCTACTCACCAGAACAAATACAATAAGCTGTGGTTGCTCTGGTGACTATAGTGTCCCTTTAATTTAAAACATGAAGTCTATAATGAGCAATCAGATGCAAACTGAATTGTATCAATGTAACCAACCAGTTCTAAGAAATAATACTAATACCTAACCAGTTACTGGTTGATTACATTGATAAAGTTCTGAATATATGTATGTTACGGTTGCCCCAGGCTAGCTGAGGGTTGGACCATAGAAAGGATGCTCCTAGCGCTCACCAAGGACCATCAGCACCGCAAACACTGCAGACCCCACGAACCGCCGCTACTGGGTTGGGGTCTCGCTGTCTCCTACCCACCCTGGAACTATGACAAGGCTCCAGGTTCCAATGTGGGGGAGCCTCTCTTCCTCCCAGAGAGCAAAGCAGGATCAGGAACAAGAACTCAGTGAAGCTAAGGGAATATGCAGAGCAGAGCAATCCCTGTAGTGATTATAGCTGTCCCCTCCAAACACGGGTCAAGGCTGCGAGTTGAGGGTCAAGTAGAACTGGTTTAATGGGCACAAAGGACTTTCTTATATGCACATTTTCCCACAAGGTTACCACCCACGTGGACCTTGTGGTACACAGGACACAAAGTTACAACAGCCAATCAATACAGTACAGTACAGTCAGACACTCCCAGCCAAGGCACGCAAACCCTCCCCAAAACACAGAAACACCCCAAAACAGTAACATATCCCCAGAAAGCATACATCCCTGGATAGCTCTGATCGGGGTGAACAACATATCCAAAAATCACCCAGAACAGAGCAGGGGTTCACAAATTCTGTGGAAGTCATATTTGACCGACTGTAAGCATGGCTTTCATGCCCAAAAGAGTTTCATAGATTTGGGCTGTGCGGTTGGTCTATTTCACATAGTTAAAATGTTAAGTTCCATTCGAATGCACAAATGGGCGCCGTTCGTGCAAATCCCAATGTTAACGTGGCGTTCGAATATTCGAACGCACTTCGATTTCTGTCGAAGTGTCAAAGTCCCAGAGAAGGTAAGGTTCAGCGGTGTTCGTTCCGCAGCTGACCGCGTTCGACTAAACAAGATGGCCGCCGCCACGTGTTCGACTATACGAATGGCGTCCACCCAGCCATTCGTCAATTAGCTTGATGTTAACCACAGCTTCTGGGAGGTAAATTGGCTGCACACTTCACTTGTGTGGGGTCCGGCTGTTCGGTAGTTCGAAGTTCCACTTCGACAGTTTAAAAGGGGCATTGTGCCAAGTCTCAATATGCCCCAATAATGTTCTTAAAGGGCAATACACCTCAGGGCCAAAGTCATAGGGTAGGAGGCCAGCAATCAGGCTCCTCCAAAAGCCAGTGGCAAAGGGCAGTTTGTCACAATGTATCTTTTTCTTATCAAGTATCTCTTTCGCACACATGCAGACTACTAAATTCTGCATATTTTGACTACCATTCTGAGGAAAAAATTCCACATTTGATTAGGAGTCTTTTCAGTTGTGTTGTTGACTTTATTGCACTTTCACTCAAAACATCCGGTTCACTAGCATCATCTATAAGAGACATAACAAACTATACTTCTATTATATGGTTTTATATATTGCCCTGTGCGTGTTTTCTCTAATCAAGAGTTTAATCCCTTTTCTTTTTGTTAATTAACTATTTCTCTGTATTAAGATTGCTTTGATTTATACATAGTGTAAGGATTCATCTTCTGATCATGACCTACTGGCAGTAGCATGAATTTATATACTGTTTATTGTGCAATCTATGATGAGGTGATCTTGTAAAAAAACATATTTATTGAACTGAATAGAGGACCAGGCATACTTCTAATTATCTATTAATTAAAGCTCAGTTTCCCAATTCATTCTATACTGTATTTGTTTTTCTCTGATGTTTTATATATCCACAACTTTCATTTATAATTCTTGAGTGGGGATTATACTACTTCAAGATATTCAAAGGGAGCAATTCTGTTGCTCAAACAAATGTGAGTGTGCATGCATTAATATATAACATTCAGTATTTTAATACATACTGCACCATATTGGCTTTTTCTATGGTTTCATATATATCCTATGGGACACTACTTTTGGACCAGGAGGTATACTTCGATTTGTAAGCAGGGATTGTAACGCTCAAACACAAACGTTGTAGTGAGCCTGAAGCTCAGAAAGTGTCCGTGCACCTCTTTATCCTCTCCCTTCCTCTGACACAAAAATACAACACTATCATCTGCTTTTGTTCTACTCTTGTCGTTACATATCTTTACACTCATGGACATTCCTACTCAAGATATAATATTTACTGTTTGTTACTAGTCAATTATTTTAATATCACATTCTTTCAGAATGTTTATCATAATCATCATGTCAGATAAATTAATATTTATTTGTATATAACTCTATAATTTAATCCCAGAACACAGATGACATATTAATGAGTCAATAAATATAATGCATCATATTAAATCTAGAATTAAGCATTGTGTACTTGAATTATGTTGTTGTTGTTGTAATTGAATTAAGGAACGCCTACTACAGAACAAGGAATAGAATAATGAACATATGAGAATAATGAGTTCAGTTATAGGTCATTATGCTAAAGGTAGCTGCAATAGGTCTGCCTACCATGCGTTCTTGTTATTTTAATAAGCTACAAACCCTAAAGGTTGCTTATGATGTTTCGTGTAATTAAACTCTTTACGTAGAGTGCATGTGCATTTGCAAAAGAAAAAGAACAAAAGAGAACACATATACAGTTACTAGACATTCCATCCTTCTGTTTTCTTCCCTTTTGCGATCTTGAGACCTGGATTGTTTTAATAATTTTTATTTATTTATTTATTTTTTAACACCCTCTACAAAATAGATAATTATTTCTTCACATAATATTCTAACTGATACTGTTCTGGTGTCTACAGCCAATCCCTGCAGGCTTTTCAATGTAAACACTGCCTTTTTTTTATTGAAACAGCAGTGTTTACATTTGTGCCTAGTAACATCTCTAGTGGCAGTCACTCAGTTGGCTTCTAGAGGTGCTTCTTGTGCCAGCGCTGCACAGTGTGCACTGCACATTCTCCATAGAGATGTATTGATTCCATGCATCTCTATGATGAGATGCTGACTGGCACAGCACAGTGTTTTGCAATATACTCTCAATGCTTTCCAATGGGAAAGCATTGGATTGGCTGAGATCATCAAGTTTGATGATCTCAGCCACGGAAGCGGAGCGAGGTAGGGTCAACTGTGGCGAGATCGGTGTGGTGTGGAAGAAAAGATTAGTAAAATCACCATTTCAAAGAGAGTCAAAGGGGGACAGTAAGCTAAACAGTGATTTGACCATCATGGTGTCAGTAATATATGTTTGTGTTCTTGACACTATAGTATTCCTTTAACTATGGAATTAGAATGATTTCCACATATCTAAATCAGTTCGTCTATCTGTTTACCTATCTATCTAAGCCCAAGGTTCCGAATTTCCACTTGCCCTCGCACATACACTCCTAGATTCACAAATATATTGAAACATGCACTGAAAGATATTTGAATCAAAATGCTACTTGCATATGTTTTTCTGGTGAGTAACTTTCAGGACTGCAGAATTAGTTAGGTGTAAAAATGTTAAGCCCTTATAAGAATTTGCATTAAAGCAGAGATGTGCATTTATAAAGTAAATGATTATAAAGGAATGATTATGTTTTGAATGGAAAATGTGAGGGCTTTCAGGGTAAAAGTCTCTCACAGGTCTGAATATCATTTTTGATCTCTCTTTTTTTTATACTCAGTTACTAGGGATGTGCATGGGAAAAATATCTGATTCGGTTCGGCATTCCGAAATTCGGAACTTCAGCACTTTGGGACTTCGGCACTTCGGTTCGGCACTTCGGAAATTCGGCACTTCGGATATTCGGCTCTTTGGAAATCCGGCACTTCGGAAATTCGGCACTTCGGAAATTCGGCACTTCGGAAATTCGGCACTTTGGTTCGGCACTTCGGAAATTCGACACTTCGGTTCGGCACTTTGGAAATTCGGCACTTCAGAACTTCGAAACTTCGGCACTTCTGGACTTCAGGTAAGTGTAGGGGTAGGGTTAGGGTTGGTTTAGGGTTAGGATAGGGGTAGGGTTAGAGTTAGGGTTAGGGTAGGGTTAGAGGTAGGGGTAGGGTGGAGTTAGGGGTAGGGTTAGGGTAGGGGTAGGGTTAGATTAGGGTAGGGTTAGGCATAGGGTTAGGAATAGGGTTAGGGTTACTCTACCCCTACCCTCACCCTACTCCAACCACTAACCCTACCCCAACTCTTAACCCTGCCCCAACCACTACCCCTACCCCTAACGCTACTCCAACCACTAATCCTACCCCAACCCTTAACCCTACCCCTAACCCTAACCCTACTCCAACCACTAACCCTATCCCAACCACTAACCCTACCCCAACCCCTAACCCCAACCCTCTCCTGTTTTTGCCACTTTTCAGAAATCTGAAGCACTTCGGCACTTCAGAAATTCGACAGTTCGGAAATTCAGCACTTCGGCAATTCGGTTTGGTTCTGCATTCCGAAATTCGGAACTTCGGCACTTCGAAAATTTGGCAATTCGGCACTTCGGACATTCAGAAGCATCTGAATGTCCAAATTTCCGAAATTTGGCAGAATTTGCATTCGGAGCGGAACGAATTGCACATGTCTAGTCAGCATATATGCACAGACAACACAGCCACACACAACAATAAAACCTACATCATTAAAGGATCATACTCCTGCACATCCAGCAATGTGGTATACATGATTCAATGCATCAAATGCCACGTAGAATGCTACATTGGGGAAACAACCCAGCAATGAAATGGCAGAATGAATATGCACAGACACTCCATTAAACACCACAAAGAAAGATCATACTGCACTCCTGTGGGACACCACTTTACCCAGCCTGGCCACTCAATGAAGGACCTACAAATCAAAGTACTGAAAGGGTTTTTTTTAAAAATACCCAAGAAAGAAAAATGTTTGAAGCCAGAATGATCAAATTGTTTAACAGCAAGAATAGAGGAATAAATATTGATATAGGTTTCCTGTCCCACTACCATCACTTTACATGAACACTACCCCAGCATTATCTTACTGTTCTGTTATATGTATCAACATTTTAAAACACATTCCAATATGTTTATTCTATCAATATACAAAGTACTATGTGTAGACCTATGCTTTCCCATACTCTTATGCATGTTTGCTTATATATATGACTGGGCATTTATATTTGTGTAAATGAGTTCATGTGCATGTATGTATATGTGTTTATGTGTATATGTGTTTGCATATACATATTTATGTGTGTGTTTGTGTCTGCTTGTTTTTTTTTCTCCCTCTCCCCCTTCACTCTGCTCTTGAGAAATATATTTATGACCCTCTGTAAGAATGGTGTCTATTTTCTATCAGCCCTGTGTCTTATCTGCACTCATGTTGCTTTAACCCCTGTATCACAACTCAACTTTGAATTCTAAAAAAAAAAGGTATTACAAGATACAAATTGTATCTGTTTTTTACATCTATATTAAATATATAAAATCTCAACACAATGCTGCTCCGACCTACTTATCCTCACTAATTCACAAATATGTCCCATCTAGGCCGCTGCACTCTGCCAGAGACCTACGTCTAACCTCTGTGTACGTACTCCTACCTCTGCTGCTCACCTTAAAGACTTCTCTAGGGCTGCACCGTTCCTATGGAATGCCCTTCCCCTTTCTGTTAGACTTTCACCCAATCTCCACTTCTTCAAAAAATCTTTGAAAACTTACTTCTTTAGGAAGGCATATCAATTGAACTGTGAACAGCTTTCTCTCCCCGCACCCTGATTCCTCTCCTGAAACTGTCATCAAAACAACACTAACACTAAGCCCTCAGTGAATACTATTCTAGCAACCTACTTTTCTACCCTACCCTTACCTTTTGTGTCACATTAACCCACTCCCTCTAGCATGTAAGCTCATTGAGAAGGGCCCTCAATCCCCCTGCTCCTGTGCATCCAACTTGTCTAGTTACAAATACGTGTCTGTTAGTTCACCTATTGTACAGCACTTCGGAACATGTTGGTGCTTTATTAATAATAATAATAATAATAAATGGTACGGGTGCATATTCCCAGGTCCCTTAACCCAACAATGGTAATTATTGCAGCTATTAATTAACTGTAGTAACTACCTTTATGGGTTAACTCCATTTCCGGGTTGTTAGGCAACATTTGGTCGCCTGACACTGGACGTCTTCATGCTATTGAGTAATGCTTTCCTTCAGGTAAATCCTAATGCAAGTGCATGTGCTTTAGGTCTCCTCTGCCTGCTGACGTTGATCGGGGAGGAGCAGAGGGGAACTTGACCCGAGCCAGCACCGAGAGATGGCACTGGACTGAGGTAAGTGACAGTAGGAGTTCTTAACACATTTTGCACCGTGGGGAGGGATGGGGGCACTACAGCTTTGTTTTTCTAGCACTATTGTTTCCCTTCAAGCAGCGTCTCAGGATGAACTTTTACAGACACTCACTGGGGTAATTCACTAAACTCCAAATGTCCCGCACTAATATGGGGAAAATCTATTTGGTGCTGTACAAGGCCATTCAGAAAGCAAAATCTGCACATTGTTCAGGCCATTTAACAACGTCGTTCATTATTGCTTCTTCTAAGTGAGTTTGGCCTCTGTGTGGCTTTTCCTATAAGTATTTTTCGTATCTGAGCACTAAACTTTAAAAGGTGACATTTACATATTGACACTTCAGCATCAATGTCCTGATTATTCATGTTTTATTTATAAGTACCATATCACAATTTCTTTAATACATTTTTATTAAGATGAATATTTGAAAATTTCTTTGGTTCCCAAAATGCATAACTTTGCATTTACTGTGACAGAATCTCATTAGCTATGAACATTACAAGTCTCTCAATTAATCGAAATCCCTCTCTTTCAAATAAATATTTTATTCTGACTGTATTACCTTACCTAATTCAATGTTATCTGCAAACACTAACTTGTTAAAATTGGAACTTTTAGAGTTCATTGCTTATATAGAAATAAAATAAATTTGAAAACATAAAACCCCAAGGTATTCATATGACAAATGCTCTTTTTCTCAGGCGTTTGCCACAAACTCCTGGAGGAGTGTAAACGCTAGCCTCCTGCCCACCGACTATAGTTCAGGTCTGAGACCCCATTCGGGAGTTACCCTGCCCATCCACCATTAGCAACTTTCCCTGGGTGCCCTTAGTTTGGCACTTTTCCTTCATTCGAATAGAAGTGAACGCTAGCTCCCTGGCAGCCGTTCGCATGAACCATTCCCACGAATGGTCCTCAGCGGTACTTAGCCACAACCGCTATGGAACTAATTTCAGCATGAGGACTTTGTGTTCGAAATGTTATGGAACTGTTTTTGGCATGAGGTGACCGTGCGGTTCTCGGACAACTTGGTCCGGGGTTTTGAACCACTTTGCAACCCACCATTAGAGCGCTTTTTTGAGGGAAGGTGCCTGAGACTAAGGGGAACAAACGCTACCTGAGAGCCAGGCAGAGCACTACATATTGCATCCACAAGAGCTCCCGAAAGTTGACCAGCAAACACACCAAACACCCTGGAACTATTTTGGGCATAGGACCACGTGTGCGGCCGGTCAGAACTTTAAGACAGTGGTGTTTACCCTACACTACTTAGATCTGAGTACTAGTTGGAGAACTTTGGCTCTCAGATCAGGGCTATTTGGGGATGTATTATTTGTTGGGTTATTGTATAGTTTTATGTTTGGGGTATTTTTATGTTTTATGTTTTTGTGTTTGCCTTTCTGTTCCTGTGAGATAATTAGCTTACCGGTCTTTAATGCAATTATCTCCCAGGCACAGAGATCTGTGTGAGGGGCTTGTCTTGTATTGAATGGAGACCCCATTCTGGGGGCTGTGTATATAAGCTGGCAACTTGGCCATAATAAAGCAGTTCCTTTTCACTCTTCACTCAGTGTGGGCTAGTGTTTGGGTGGATCAGCTATTCTCTCTGCAGGAGAGCTTAATGACTAGAAACTGTACCCAGGACCCTGTTCCAGGGCGGGAAGCGATGAAGAGACCCCAGCAAAGCTGCAACTAGGGGCTGAAGCACTCCTTTGTCCTGGAGGAGAGCTAGTAAGTGAGCTTGATGGAGGTACCCAGTCGGGGTGCCAGGCGGTCTGTCACAATTCTACTTACCACTTGGAGTACTATTTTATTTCCTATGAGTATTTAATACTCCATAGTACTCTTTTATTGTGTTTACAGTAAAATGTAGATGAGCAGGGACACAGTCTGATGTAAAACAATGGTTATTCACACAGCGTTAAAGTGTCATTTTTGCTCACATAAGAGCCTTTCTGACAGAACACCTTCAGAAGAGTGTTAATTTCTATGATCAGATCACTGTATTTATAATAAAGTGATCAGGCCATAGAACTGAATACCTTCCCAACACTGGTACAGAAAATCCATTAAAAAAAATCAGCTTGCTGAAGTGCTTTATGTGTGAAGAGTGTGTCTTCTTGTTTTCATTTTACAAAAAGTGCAGATTTCAATAGAAATGTAAACTTTTATAAATACATATTGTAACACCCCCTTGTTGTCAATCAGACAACCAGCCCTGTTACTTAATTTATCTGTATTTGGAAGACTGTGATTCGGCAGCCACAGAAAGTCTGGACGGGGTTATAAAGGGATAGTTTGCAAGGTTTCAGAAAAGTGATCTGCAGCTTTTGCAAGCAATAAAAAGGTATTAATAAATGTGTGCATGTTTTCATTGGGGGTATATCTTCATTGGTAATATATTATTTTTTGTTACTTGGTTATATTCAGTAAGCATAGGCGTGCGCACGGGGTGTGCCGGGTGTGCCTGGGCACACCCTAATCCCCGTGCGCACCCCTATGGTTTGAGTCCTGCAGGAACAGCGTTCCTGCACTCTTTTGAGCAGGAACGCTGTTCCTGCAGGCACTCAGTGCCCCCTGTTTCACCTCTTGCCCCTGTCATGGGAGGGCAAGAGGTGATGATTCCCCCCCCCCACCCTGCAGCTCAGCCGCGGCGAGGGAGCTCTCTGCTCTCTGCTTCCTCTCGCCGCGCGCTGATGCCGGGAGCCGGAATATGACGTCATATTCCGGCTCCCAGCTCCAGCAGACAGCCCGCGCGGCGAGAGGGAGCAGACAGCAGAGAGCAGAGAGCTCCCTCGCCGCGGCTGACCTGCGCCCGCCCCCACTGGACCCCAGGGACAAGTCCACCAGCACTCCAGGTAGGATGCTGGGTGGACATTTAAAAAAAAAATTAAAATATAATAATTGTGTGTGTCTGTGAGTGTGTGTATGTGTCTGTGAGTGTGTGTGTGTGTCAGTGAGTGTGTGTGTGTGTGTGTCAGTGTGTGTGAGTGTGTGTCTGTGAGTGTGTGAGTATGTGTCTGTGAGTATGTGTGTGTCTGTGAG